ATATATTAAACTTAAATCATGCAAGGGTGTAACTAATAGTCAGTTGTGTTCTATTTTAGAGTTTGTTATTGGAGCTGTTATCTTTTTCAGCAAAATATCTTTGGGTGAAAGAGCATTTATACCCTTTTGTTTCCTTTCTCAGAATACCTCACAGTTCTGAAGGCACTCGAGTTTTTTCAGAATGTTTTCTGGTTTTCAGCAAAAATTTGCATTAAAAAATTGACTAAGGAACAATTTCTACTTTTCAGTCTTTCTGGTATATGTCCTACTGAAAAGAGAACAGAAAAATTAAGGTTATCAAAGAAGTTCACATGGTTTGTTTCTTGTTTGTTGTTATAAAAGTAGAAAAGGTTTTGATGTCTTCTGTTCAATTACTAAGCAACAGTTTAAACTTTAAAGGCTGTCTGTTGCTAGGCAATTCCTTGTATTATCTCTTTAGATCTCATCTCTCTCCCCACGAAGGTGGAATTCTCAAGCTAAAATGGCCCATTTTTCCTTTTTTTCTCTGGCAAAAACTGCCTTTGTCAAATAAGATATCTTGGAACTAGGCATTTTACTAAATTAGCCTACACAAAAACTTTTCTAGCAGTCTCTAAAGACTTGTCTGTAAAACCCAGAGCAACGAAAAAGGGTGTTTGCATGGCTGTCTGCCTGGGGAGAAAGGGGAGAAAGGCACCTCCGCTTTGCTCTGGTGGAAAGCCGCCCCCCACACACACACGCGCTTCGCTTCGGAATTCTTCACCGCAGGCAGCGGGACCGCCCCCATAGGTGTCCCCGTGCCAGCCATGGTCGCTGTTGCAGAGCCCTGGGCCACTGCCCGGATCTGGCTCCAGCTCATCTCGGCACGGCGCTGCCCTGTGCCGCACTGCACAACCCCCCCTCCGCCCTACCGCTTGCGAGCAGCAGGGGCCGTCTCCATCAGGGTCCCAGCACAGCATAGGTTCCCTCTCTCTTTTGTTCAAGACACTTTTATTGGGATTGCACTACATTAAACTTAATCTGCGAGAACTTTTTAGAACTGCTGCATATCTTATGTGTTTTGCCTTACACACACTGTGAAACTGAAACAGTTAACTAGCACATGAACAAAGAACAGGTAACTCAGGCTGCGAAAAAGAAAGAAAAGAAGGTGGGTGCCGAATCTTAAGCCCAGTGGCCTACAAGGATGGGCTCTGCTCTGCTGTTTTCCACCTGGCCCCCGCTGAGGGGCCGCAGCACTGGGCTGCTCTATTCGCTCTCGAGTTTGTTTTTGCCCCGCTCCTTCTGCCTGCATGTCTCGATTTGAACTTCTCGTTTTCTCGGCGGAGTCGTCTGGTGGAAAAACTGTTTTTGCTGCAGCGGCAGCACTGTGTAAACTGGGATGGAAGGTCTCCTGATCGGAGTGGGAGTCCAGAGGGTTGGGCAGTGAGTCACGGTTCGATTTCGCACGGTTTGGTCGGGGCAGCGTGTGTCGGGTAGCGATGCACTCTTCCCCCTTCGGCAGGGTGCCAACGCCATTCTGCGACTACGCAGCTGAAAATTCCCGCATCGGCGGCAATGGAGGGCAGGGACCCCTATTTCTTTTCTGCCTCTGGGGGTGAATTGTTAGGTTTTTCTACATTTTCTGGCTTGGAGGGTGGTGACTTTTTAAAAGCACAATCTTTTAAAGTTTCAAAGACAGTTTGCTACAGTTTCAGTACACTGGCAGCCTGCTTATCTTCCTGGGTAGCTGCGTTTCATACTTTGGTTCTTATGCGAATCATTGCATGGATTGCTGCCCCCCCCCACCCCCGCTTCCAAATCTTTCAGAGTCTCACAGAGCAAGCGCCAGGCAGACACACTAAATGCAATTGACGTAGTAGCTTCAAAGCCTTGTTTTCAGTACCATAACAGCCCATGTAGTAATGCAAAATCATTAATCTTAACACCCTTACGACTATGGAGGGCTTATGTTTTGTCCCATTGTTACAATTTTTGTTCCTGATGGCTCAGCTCCGATGAGGTGATGATAAAATCTCAGGTCCGGACCAAGGCAGAACCTCACTGCTCTCAAAGCTTCATCGGGCGCCATCTCCACCGTGCTTTGGTCCACGGTTCAGACTCTCTCTCTCTAGGAGATAAATCACTTCAATCTCTCTCTTTCTCGGAGATAAGTCCCTTCGAACTCTCTCTCGGAAATAAATCACTTTGGTGCAGCATCACGTCGGGGTCACCAGATGTCGCTGTTAAGTTGAGATGGCCAAAGCAACACAGAAACAGTCTTCTTCAAAAAATAGGACAGGAGAGGGATAGATCCTTTATTGTAACAAGTCACTGACATTTATAGCCCTTGGCATAACATACATGTTACACTACAATTGGTGTCTTCAAATAAACATGCGTCAGGATTGGCTGCTCTGTAGCACACTCACGATGATTCAGCATTTGTAGACTCATGGTGACTAAGGTCTAGCAAGCTCATTGTGATTTTGCAAAAAGTTCAGGATATCTGCTTTTATAGTCCTGTCTTTCTTCCAACAGACCTGCTGTTAACCCCGACAGACACTCAAAGAAGGTTATAAGTTCAGTAACCTGGTTTTCTCCCTTTCCCGGTAAGAGGGGAAAAAAACTACTGTGTATTGTCCCCTCTCCTGTTCTCTCCCCTCTGTTTGCTGGCTGGGGCTGACAACCTAAAGTATGTCTGGGAGTGTGTTTGGGCCAGGAAGGGTGGCTCAAATTGCTTCAGACAGCCCAGGGAATCTGAGGTGCTAGAACTGAGTTTAAATACCTATATATCCAAGAATCATGTAATCTCCAATGTGTTAATCTGGGCATGTCAGGCAGTGATACTGTCATTGCCTTCCTCTGATGTTAATTAATAAAACTGAGTTGCCCAAGGTTGATCAGGAAAACTGCAGCTGCTCAAGAAGTTAAATTCAGGTCTAAATTAAGTTCTGAGTCCTTAGTTATAGGGCTGTGTTTGTTTATAGGGAATCTCATGGACTCATCCAGGGTGCTGTAGGGGTCTCTGGGGAATACACAAATAGCAACATCTTGCTTTAAGTTTGCTAAAAAACCTTCCTTTTGGGCAGGTATAAGGTCTTGAAAATAATATGGCTACAAAATGAGATTATTCATTTTAAAGGTAAAAATGGGAGAGGGTGTGGAATTTCTGAACTAGGGCTTTATTGTGACCTTCTTAAGTCTGTTTTACAAGTGGCTAAGGGAGGTTGTGAAGACTGCATCTGTGGAGATGTTCAAAAGCCGTCTGGGCAGCCAACTGAAAGTGTCTCTGGTTCAGCAGAGGAGGGTGGTCTAACTGATCTCCAGAGGTCCCTTCCAACCTCAACCACTGCTGAGGATTCTGTGATCCTCTTTCATCTGTGACTTCTCTCATTTTGTGGGATTTTTTCTAATTTTAGTCCAACTCTCATTCAGATATACCATGGCTTTAATATCTGGCTGTGTGTCAGAGCATGTGTGCAAGGTCAGGCCAGAGGAATGCATGGATAGCTTCAAGTGTATATTTGCACTGGAATTGCCAAAATTAGTTTTCAAAAGTCTTGCAATAATCTCACAGCAAGACAGTTTCGATGCAGAAATCCTGAAGGGAAAATACCAAAACCAGGCCACTTTGGCATTGGTTATTTCACTTTCTTCATTATTTTCTGTGGTGTGGCAAGATAACTTGTATATGTAACAACTCTTGTAATAGTGGCAGAAGGCATTAGTGTTCATAAAGAGGATTCTCAATCAGATCCTGTGTTTGTCATAATTTAGAATCATAGATTTATAGAATTGTTTGGTTTGGAGGGAACCTTTAGGGGCCATCTAGTCTATCCCTCCTGCAATGAGAAGGAATGCACCTTTCAGTAGACCAGGCTGCTCAAAGCCCTGTACAGCCTGGACTTGAACACTTGCAGAGATGAAGTGTCCATCACCTCCCTGGGCAACCTGTACCAGTGTTTTACCACCCTCACTGTAAAATACATCATCCTTATATCTAATCTGAATTGATCCTCTTTTAGTTTAGAACCATTACCTCTAAACAAGCAGTTATAAATCAATATTGCTGTTTCTGTCATTGATGAGGACTGTGATGTGAGATTTCCTTTGCAGTCTGGCAAAGAGGGAACAAAAATTAGTAAATATGCTTACTTTCAGGAGGTGAGGTCAGTGACAACTTCGGTGAGATTGTTCTGAGCTGTGTTGTTGAAACAGTCCTGGAAGCTGATGCAGACACTGACATGCGCAGTAACTGTGGAGATATACCAAAAAAAGTGGATAGCTGAAGTTCCAACTAACCCTTTTAGCCAGCCATAAACTGTGAAAACAGAGACCAGAACTGCTCCCTGCAGTTCATATCTAAAAATGAAATTTCAGACTCAAGCCAGTTTTTTCAAAAGCGGCTGTGCTGGAGTGGGGAAGCCAGGCAATGTACAGGAGCCCCCACTGGTTGGTTGGAGGGTCAGGACTTCTGAGTAGACTTCTAAAGCTTTACTCATAAGAAGCAGCTCTAAGGAAGGGTGAGTGGCAGGAGGCAAGTTTTCTACTGGGACACAGAGGGCTCTTCTGAATTAGCAGAAAGTGCACATTCCCCAGCATGGGTTTGCAGTTGCAGGAGGGAAGCATTTTGACTTTAGCTTCCTTTTTCCTTTGTAATAATCCTTTACCACTGTGCACAGGTTTTAGCTGTCACTACTGCTGGTTCCTGCCCCTCATCCTGGCACTGCCATCGATCGTCGCTACTGTTGACACTCACATGCCCTTTGATGAAGTGGCTGTCACAGCCCCTGTCCCTCTGCACAGACCTGCTCCTATCTGAGACGTTCATTACTGTCGTTTGCCAAAAAGGTTTATGTAACAGATGTTGCAAAGCAAAGGCACAGAAGCACACACACACACTCACACCCCATTATGGTGGGGGCTGTCAGAGTGACAGTGAAGGGAGGATGGTCCACAGGACTGGAGTAGCTCAGAGGCACAGCTGCATCTGTTCAAAAAGCAACTAACGCCTCTCTGTGATTATGCTTTATTTTCAGCTTGTCATCATGGCTGGGACTGTTCTGCTCGCCTACTACTTTGAGTACACCGACACTTTTCAGGTGCATATCCAAGGTTTCTTTTGTCAGGATGGCAGTTTGATGAAACCCTACCCTGGAACAGAAGATGAGAGCTTCATTTCACCTCTTGTGCTGTACTGTGTGCTGGCTTCAGCTCCGACAGCTATTGTGAGTATAAGGAATTATTTGAATTCTCTATGAACCCTTTCATAAATAATAGCAATAGTCCTGTGATATCTTTGCCCCCTCTCCTCTCTATTCAGCTGTAATTAATTCACGCTTAGCCAGATCTCTGTTTTGCCTCAGCCTAATATGATCTTCATCAGTTATCTCCAGAAGTAATTATTCTGAGCTAATCACAATGCAAGAGTGAGGGGTAGAGCTTGTTAAGCCTTGTACAATAGCTTGCTCACTTCAGTGCTTAGTTGTGAATTGCCAGGGCTCCAGAGAGGCTCTAATGCGAAGTTTATGTATTACTGGAATTAAGAAAACATAAAGCTGAAGTAAAACCCGGGTCAGACATGCAGTATATCCAGGATTATTTCCTGCTATATTAAAAGGACTGTTGAAGGGCTTTAAAAGGCTTGGATGAGCAGAAAGATGCTAAATACGTGAATGCTATTTCCTTTTTATTTATAATCTCTCTATTTTTAGCAGTCACATCCACTAAACGTTTTTTTTTACCTGGTTTTCTTTACTACCCAATCAGTAAACTGCAATGTAGCCGTTCTGTGCAGATGAAAATACTCAATTAGCTGAGTACATACAATTCCAAACAGATTATTGCAGTCAAGTTGTTAGCAAAACTTTGGCCCTCTTCCGTTTTCTGTGCAGGTTGCAAATTTCACCAATTTTTTTTGCTGCATTTGTAATGACACTCATAAATTCGTGTCAGACTCTATCTTTATGGACTTTGTTTTATTTCTTTCCTTTTATTTCTTTCCTTTTAGTATTTCTTCCTGATATTATTTTGCTTTTCATCCCCTTCAAAAGTTGTTTGAAGCTGTACATGGCATATTTGCTTGTGAATGGTGAGTGCTTCACCACAGTCCATTTTAAGTTTTGTTCTGTAGTAATTTTAGTGCATGAAACCGTATTCTTTTCACATAATGTGTTAAGAAGCGTGAAAGGGATCTTCAGAAGAGCCTATAGTTTTTGGTACAGGACACTTTATGAAAGCAAGTAGGAGTTTTGAAATGGATTACATCAAGAGTTTATGAAAATCCTCATTTTTTACTTTGATTTTACTTTGGGCTGCAGTGATAAATGATTTGCAAATAAAAAAAATAAATACCACATTTCTCCGACTCCCCCATAAACATAGTGCCATTGTTTAGGGACTTAGCTTTCACAGGCATTTTCTGTAAGGGTAGATGGTGTGTCACTATCACGCCTTCATTCTGTAACAATGATATTAGTTTGTCCCTTGATTAACTGGCATTGGGTAATGAGTGTTGTTCTTTATTTGGATCTTCTGTTTAAATCCTTTCTCTGGCCAAGTTTCATGCCAGCCCTTATGGTTTTGCTCTGCTGGATCAGCATTTTATTTCTTTTTAGTGACTCAGGAAGTTTTTCCTAATTACTCTTCTTTATGAAAAGCTGAGTTGGAGTCTTGACTTGGCAGTACTGGGTTAACAGTTGGACTTGATGGTCTTGAAGACCTTTTCCAACCTAAACAGTTCTATGATTCTATCAAGAGTACTGTTTTTGTAGTTTCCATAGCCCATATTAAACACAAAAAATGTAGTGAACATCAAATAAACTTTTTGGGTGCTGAAGAGACTTTCAGCTTAGTGCTGTGGGGAGATGGACTGTGTGAACTGTCTCATAAAATGCACTGTCCAGAAACACTATCCTGGGTCCGTAAGTATAGTTATCACCCTGAATGGTTGGATCCAATGCTGGGTATAGGCTGGTAAGCTCTGCTTCTTGGGTTGTGCTGTGCTGTTGCACTGGTACTGCTTCAGCTAGAGAGGACATGGTCAGGGTCAGCACACGGCTCTTGGCACTGTGCTTCGTGGTGATCTCTGCGTACAACCTCAAGGAGACAGCAGATCAAACTTTCCTGGGAAAACATTTTTTATTTCCATTTTTAATGTAATATGTATTAATACATTATTCAATCAATTTTTTGCTTTATTTGTATCATTGTACTGTATTATTAATACATAGTATAATTATTTAATGTCTTATTACTTTTGGGTTAATCTTCAACCAGAGCATATGTCAGAGGGATATTTTTCTGTCCTCCTGACTGGTGCTTATGACAATGTTATAATAGAAGTAACTTCACTTTATTCTTCATTCCCATCTTCTTCTGAGAGACATTGCTCTCCTTGCAGGGTGATTTCAGACCTCTGCTTCAGCTTGTAGCTGACTCTGCAGACTGAGTTTTGGCAATGATCATTAATAAAAAGCTTATAAATGAGACAGAAGGTGAGCTCAGATTCTCCCTAAACTCTGTTCTTTTATTACCCTGCTGGTTAGTCCATTCAGAGTGTGAGTATCCTCAGCTGTCCTTCTATACCCAGATGGGTGCTGCCTGTCATTTAGGCTGCCCACAGTCTGGGGAGAGATGTTTGGTCCAGTTGAGTCTCCCAGGGACTTCAGTGAAAGGAGCAAATACAGCCATTTCTACTTACACTGTGAGAATTACACTCTCTCAGAAAAAACTTCCAAAAAAACTCCACACAAACAAAAGAACCCACACAGCTGCGCTTCATGGGAGGGAGCCTTGTGTACATTTACTGTGGATTAAGTTGTAGCTTCACTCCCTGCATTCTGCAGCTCCACCATGAGGACATGATTTAAGTCAAAGGCAATGCCAGTTCCTCCTTAAAATTACTTGTTTCTCCTCTGCACAACACTTTTTGCTTCACTTTCTGATGGCAAGCCAGTTGGTTTGGCTGGGAGGATTTGCAGTAGCAAACCTGATCTCTCTGTATTACCTTCACGTTACCACTGTCCTGACATCTCATGATTCCAACATTTTACTGAAATGAGTGGAACCAGCAGCAAGGAGGTACTAGCTCATGGTACCAGCTAAAACTGGAGAAGATATCCTAGTAGTCTGTACAAGCTCCCTCATCTGAGGCACAAGCAGTGTTTAAGTGCAGTCCTGTGTGCACAGCTCTAGGGAGGACTCAAGCTATGATTTTCAGCATAGCTGGGAGGTGTTATAATGCTTGCAAGCCAAAAGGGAACATCTTTGTGAACTTAATGGAATATCTCTGTGTCTCTGTCATTTGGCTGCGACAGTGTGCATGAGGAAAACGATTGCATGTGTTTTATTTCTGACAGCACTTTTCAGAACTGCTGCTGTAGGTTGGTACCAGTGTATGTGCATTTCCCTGCACTTCTAGTGGCAAAATAAATGAGACTGGCCTGGTTTTGTGCAGTTTTATTCATTGTTTTTGAAACACTGCCCTAAAAATATTCTGGGATGGCTCTACCACATTCATTAGTGTCCCTCAAGACTAGTTTTCCCTGCTAAGAGGTTACTGTAAAGCAGCCAATTCCCCAGTTGGTACTAAACAATCCTTACAGAGTTCAGCACTGTGCCTACTGTGTTCTATCCAGTGTGATTTGTCTGCCCACCCAAGAGAAGCAGAGAAGCTTGGAAACAGAACCATCTCACTGAAATGAACACTGAACAGCAGCAGGAAGCTTCAAGGGCACTGTTCTTTGTTACCTGAAAGTGGAATAGTAAGTGCCACTACTGTTTTCATGCAATCTTCAGTTTCTTTCCTTTGGTTGGAAGCAGCAGCCTACATGCAATCATTAACTGACCAGTGCTTTTAATTTGTGCAAAGGATTATTTGTTTTCAGATAATGCTGGCATCAGTCAAACTGAACCAGTCTGATTATTAATTAGAAGCTGAATTACAGTGGTGATCTGAAGCAGGAGGAAATTGTTCAAACTTCCCTTTCTACAATCTGCACATACTTTTAAAGCTTTGAAAATATCATTCTTCTAGATGGTTTTCCTATTCTGTCTTGATTCCTTGGCTTTGGTTTACTATAGCCATGTTACTACAGTGATTTATTTCTGTAAGGAAAGCCAGGGAATTGCTGCCTGTCTTGGCTGATTTCCCTGTGGCTGCTCTGCAGCAGATGCCAGGAAAACCAAGAGTGTCTGACACAGCTCAGAGCACTGTTACAGCAGCTTCTTCCAAGCTCTTTCAGGCAGGAATCTTAGGTTCTGCTGGTGGTGGTGCTTTCAGAAGGCACAGCCTGCTGTGCTACACGTAACCTGCTGCCCACCACACTTCACCCCTGTGCTGGCACAGCAGGCTGTGTCCTCTGCCAGTGGTGACTTGGCTTTTTGAGGCTTGCCAGGGCTCAGGTCATGAGGTGGTGAATGACAAGCTGGGCTACAAAAGAGTAATGTGAAGGTGTGCCCAATACCCTGTGTTCATATCCTGGCATTTGCACACCATTCTGGAGAAATAATAAATACACCTTGTTGGTGTATTTATTAGTTTGGTGTAACACTTCCAGGCATTTCTAATGACAGTGTCTCTGGCAGCTTGTAGTGGTCCTGGCCACACACCAGTTTGTGAAGAACAGTGTAGAGCTGTGGGAAATCTCTTCATTAGAACTTCAGTGTAATTCTTGTAGACAATTTTACCACAGTAAATTAGTTTTTTGAGAATAAGAAGAAGACAGGTTTGGGTTTTGAGCAGGCTAGAATATAAACTGTCGATTTCAACCCTTTTGACATGAAATTAAAAAACAACAACAACAACAACAACAAAACCAACAAAAAACAAAACCCACAATTTCCTTGTTCTGCAAAATAACTTGTAACTGTTCTTTGTTATTGTTTTCATTCAACAACAACTACCCACTCAAAACCAGAATGAGATAAGTAATTGAATGCAGATGGAACCAGTTGTCTCCTTAGAAGATGAAGGGTGAGCTGGCATTGCAACATTCACCTGAAGATACTGCTTCATTTCCTTGTATAGTTCTGTAAAATACAGCATTGATTCCTGGGGGCTAGAGAAGACCTGTTGAGAGGGTGATGGCAAAGACAAGAGAGTGTCTGAGAAAGCTCTTAGCTATCCCTCTATCAATAGTGATGTTATCAGGAAAACCTGTGCTCACCAAGGCAGGCTTGGTCAGGGCAATGTCTGTGGATCACAGCAGGAATACTGTGTCCTGGA